TTTTTTTTTTTTTTTTTTTTTTTTTTTGTACCAGCGTATGTTGTTGCAGAAAGCTTCGAAAGAAAATGTGCACGAGACCCGTAAGCGAAGCACGATGTCACACAAATTGCCTTACTTAGTTTCCAGGCCCTGTTTGAGCAAAATGGCGACCTGTTACGACGTAAGCTATATAATTGCAAACTAAAGTATACGCCTTAGTTTATGATCTAGCTTACGTCGTTAAAGCTTTCTGTCGTCGTTAAAAAATAACGACGACAAAAACACGACCTTCGCTTCATCCGTAAAACCAGGCTGAGCCGTTTTTCGTCTGTCTCGCAACAGCTTCCTCATCCCGGTATACGAGATCCGGAACGCTGCAGACGACGCCAGGGGCGCGCATGCGTAGTTTCGGCTTCTTCGTTGCGCAGAGCCCTTAGCCAAGCTGAGAAATCGATGGATGAAAACTCCATGAAGCCAGACTGCTGATACATGGTACAGAAAGACAGTGACTGGGCGTGTGTCTTCCTCGTATCACATTGGTCACACGAAAACTGTCTGCAGACGTATTCGAACCACGTACGAAGCAAAGATGCGTGGAACGTGGTTGAGGCGTGGCCCCAGAGAACTCACAACAAACATCGCGCCTCTTGTTTGATGTACGGGCAGTGAATGCGACTGCGACTTAAGATCTTCCATAAATTCCTCCCGCGTCGAATATAGCATACAGAATATCATTTCAGTCGTCGGAAGGTAGCGAACATGAGACATTAGTGCAACGTGAACGCGCGTTTTATTTTGAGGTTGGAAATATTGAACGACAAAAAAGTAACCCACATCTACCGCGCCATACGCCCGAGGAAAGTTATAGCTTTCATTCTGTTGATTTGTTCTTAATTCCGTGCCGCCGAAATTCGGCGTAGTCATTTATTACGGCGAAATCCTTATATGTCTCATCGTTCAGTAGACCTTCCAAGTCCTTGAGCGAAAACACGTCGACGACACGAAAGGTACCGAAACGTTTACGTGACCACTCAGGCGAATTGGAGGCAATTAAATACAAAAAGAGGACAAAGCGAATTAAGAGGAACCAAAATGAATTAGGACGAATTAAACGGAATAAAGAGTCATTAAGGAGAAGTAAGAGTATTAGATGGATATTAAGAAGAACTATAAAGCAAATTAGGAGGAATCAAAGTGAATTAAGAGGCATTAAAGCGAGAATGTGAAAAAAGAGTATGTGAAAGAAGAGAATTCGAAAAAAGAGAACGTGAAACAAAGTAAATCATGTGTCTGTCTTTAATGCATCGGCGCTGGGGCTTTCGCCTTCAAGTCGCATTAGTGATAAAATAAGAGAAAGCGAATTTTTGTTCGCGAGCATTTCGTGGTAAACCATACCGCTTCCTTCGGTACCGTCTGCTCTGAATTACGAATATGTGTCCGATTCAATATTACCTCGTGTCTTCCTTCCACCTCGTGATTAACTATATACTCCGTTTCACACTTAGCGTGCAACGCTGTCAAAGCTACTGGCGCGAGCGCGTGGCTTCATTTATGGTTTTGTTTGCGCGAGAACGCGTGCAAATGATCAACGAGATCAAGCCCCATGCTCGCGCCAAAAGCTTTGACAGCGTTGCACACTTGTTGTATGAAACAGAGTATATTATTAATCATCTGCGCTTCGCTTCGATCGGTACGAGTGTAAGTTTCTCGCTCGAAATCCCGTGGAAGCGCCTTCCTTAACTTGTGACCTGCGGAGGTTGCAAACATTGAACGCGCTAGATAGGCTCGCGAAGCACAGAAACAACACGCAGCGGCAGTCGTCGCTCCTTTCGGAAAACAAAATGCAGCTGAACGAGACTCTGCCGTGGTAGCTTGGGCCAGCCTTTACTGGAAAAAAGCAAAACAAAATGGCAACAAAATTGCTGCCGTCGGTTCGAGTGCGGAAGCCTCGCGCGTCACGTGCGTGCGTCACTGCGGTGTGCGAGGTGGTTTCGGAGTGGATGATTGGACTTGACGTGTGCCGCCGCGTCTCGTTCGGTTCGAAGCCCTGTGGGAGCCCGGACGTCTGAGTGCTCTGCGGCCTGGAACGCCGCCCTCGCCGCAACCGCCGTGCGCGCATTCCCTGCGGCATGGCGTGCCGTTAGAGTTCGGCTGACAGGCAGGATTACGTCCCACTACGGGGCAGGCGGGAGGGTTACGTTGTCGCCGGTTGGCTGCCAGGTCCGAGGTTCACGGGTGCCGCGGATCAAAGCGCAACTCAGTTTTGTTTTACACCCGCTTCGAGCACATAAAGCGAAAGGGAGGCTAAAGTCCCGGTAAGCGTTGACTCGGCGTGCTAGCTCGTGCGCTGAAAGCAGTTCCTATGCGCATTTCCAGCACCTATCATGCAGGAAAAAAAAAAAGAAAAAAGAAACATGCTGAGTCACTGGGTAGTACGCACCTGGGCGGCGTTCGACGATCTCCAGAGGAGGGATACTGCACAAGCTCAGAACGCGTTCCGCAACCCAGCGTACAAGGGTGGAAGCGCGCAGGAAGCGATGTTTGGAATGGCCTGCACTCGGAGGCAACCTTGTGTGTCATTTCCAACGAGGTAGAGGGACTTTCAGCGATAAACTGGCAGCTGAAAGTGACCCCAGCCGCCGCCATGTTGCAGATGTTTGGCCACTAGACACGTGACCTTATAGTTTCGCGTCTAGATTTTAACGAAGTACCTCGCACATATACTTAATTGCTTATTGATCTTTAATAACAGTACCGACGAGGTGAGTTATGTTTCGTCTGCCTGGTAGTTTGACGACGGAGCCATAGAGTGCCCGGTCGCAGATTTGGAGCGCGAGGATCCGGTAGCACAAAGCATTTCTCGGGGAACCAGGACGCCAGAGGAGAGCTTTTGCAGCGGCGAGGACCCGAAACACGGTTTTGAAACCCGACGAGAAAAGAAGCGGTAGCGCGAGAAACGCGAGGAGGACGAACGGACATTCCATCGCTCGGGAGAAGTGTGTTTCGGCGTCTCGCCGCAGCAGGGCGCCCGTCACGTGGCTCTCCTCTCATCCGTTGTCTGCCGTTCTACCTTTTTCAATTTCGGCGGCTGCTTCTCGTGGCGATCTGCCAGGCTTTGTCAGTATAGAGGTGGCTATGCTTCTACGAACATATTGAACAATGTTGGACGCGGATCGGTGCTCGAATGCCAAGGTACGTTGCCTTCATCCCCGAGTTAGGTCGAGCAAATTTTGGAACACAGCCCGTAAATACTGTATTACAAGTTCTGCTCAACGTTTAAGAAATTGCTATAGCTCAGACAGCGCTTTCCTTGTGCGAGTTTTCGTCCAAACAGAGCATTGTGCAGAGTTTGTCTAGCGCGCCTGCTTCCTGGGTACGGAGCACTTAACTTGTGAGATCTCCGCCTGCTGCGTAGATACGAAAGAAGAGCCTCGTGGCCCATAGGAAACAATGAATAAACAAACGCGAGCGTCCATGCGCTATATTGTGGTTGATAAGAACGACATGCTACCTACTCGCGATACGTCGTTGAAAATAACTTAGATACTCCTGTTGAGGAAGCTGGCTTTCATCATGTGCTCAACAGCAACGTCGAAATGTATACAGGAATCGTGTCGCGGCTCTCAAATGTCCTTTCGCCGAGCGCTTGCGTGTTGTGTTGGAGCGCGTGCTGACGACGATCCAGCCTTGCACCACTTCACGTATATCTTATTTTCACACTTTCATGGTCGTTGTTCTTGTCAGAAAATAAGTAATTACTTTCCGATTAATACTGTATCGGTGAGCTGACAACGGCAGAAACATAACTGAGAAAAACACTCGTCGGTAAATTTTTTGTCGATTCGGTTTTAGCCGATGAACTCAAAATTTCTAAATCAAAATGTGAAAAAAACAAAAAAAAAAAACAGTTTTTATATATATATATATATATATAGGGTTGATCAGAACGCAGGGGCAAATCTCAGATCATTGACGAAAGGGTGTTACGTTTATCTCCTTAAGGTTCATCTAAGACAACAGGTCCTTGAACTTGCGGGCCCCCCAAGAAAGCTACTCTTACGGTATTTAGTTTGGATAATACTATTTGCACTTCTTAAAAGGGAAGGGTGGTTGTGCTTTTATAAGAGCGAAAGCTACGATCCCGTAGAGTTTACGGGAGGGAGAAGGGGGCGCGCAGCTGAAATTTTTATGTTACTTTTGTCACTGGTGGAAGGGGATGGGAAGAAATTTTCCAGCGGCTAGGTCCAGGAGTTCAGTGATATTAAAATATCGACATTTATTGGAGCAACACTTCTTCCCAGGTTTTTTTTTGTGAGAAAGATGTGCTGAAAAAAACAAATCGTTTGATACACACATGCTTTTAAGCCTGTACACGTTCCCTTCGTATTGTGAATGCGGAAAACCGGGAACTTATCAAAATTAAGCTAATAATTTCGGAGAATAGTGAAATTAACAAAAATAAACCTCATCGAACACTGAATTTTATGAGAAAATAAACTCAGAAAACTCGGAACCCTGCATTTAAGTTAATAGCGTGAGAAGTTTCTCATGCGCTCAAAAACACAGGATACCCAGGTCTTCGTGGGGTACATGTTCAAGAATATTCTTCGAATTAGAAGTTTCCGTGCCTAAGAACACTTTTCTTGAACGTTTAATTGCCTTTCTTTAATTATTTATCGGAGACGCAGGAGCCTCTCTGGTGGTAGTGCAACGTTAAGATATTGGGACAAAAATGTCAATGTGCCCGATTTTATCGACCTCGATTATTTTTATTTTTTTGTATATAAGAGTTTGAATATACTTGCTCCCTTCCAAGCTTATTCTAAGCTGCTTCTGCTATTTACCGCCAAGGAGCAAGCAATGTTTTGCTTGTCGCTCAATGTAACTGAGAGGCTCCTTGTCCATAGCACTCTGACCGCGTAGACCTTCTTACATCTGTGCAACCCGACCTGATTGATCGACGTGTTGTTTCATCAGGTGCCTTTGGTCTGTCTCTTTGCAGCGGAGGTGTCCCGGCAGAGATGGCCTGAGGGCTTCCGCAGCCGAGCTCCGAGATCCCAGGCCGTCCCCCGGTTCGATTGCTGAGGTCAGTTCAAACCCTCTCTCTTGTTCCTTGTTCATCGTGTCGGACAAACCGGGAGGAAGTCTACAAACTAACACTATAAGCGCCTGTTCACACATGCACCACAGCGCTGTCGCTATTTGCTATATATTAGTGACACAGCGCTAATACAGCGATGCATCAGCGCTGAAAGACGCTAATACAGCACTGCATCAAAGATTTACCTATTTAGCGATATGCTCTATGCTCTATGTGTAAATCAGCCTTAATATGGTCTCGTTTTTTTTTTTGTATTTTTCTAACAAAAAGGATTGGATATTTTTTTCCGGCAAAAAGGCATTCGGCCCTTTTCCTACTGAAACTGCATGCCCTGTGCGCTCTCTTCGCAGACTAAGGTGTTGAACGATTACTACTCCGTGGGCATCGCGAGGCGTGCAGTTACTTCTGAGATATAGGGTAAAGATTGGCCAACTGTCGGAGATGGTTGACAGGTGCCCTGCTTCGTAGGACTACAGTGTTTTTCTGAAAGCCACTTAATTAGTTTTAACAAGGGGACAAAAAAAACTTTGCGCGATCGATGAGCGGTGAGTATTTTGGACCCTTCCATGCATTATAGAAGTCTCAAGCAGTCGGAGAAGTGTTCAAGCAGAGACATTAGCACTCCAACAAGACAAAACAACAACAACAACAACTAAGGGGTTTATAGCTGAATTCAAGAATTACTGTTGTATGTAGGAAGCCAGAGAAATAAAAGATAATATTCGGAGATTACTGGACCGGCTTAATAGAAACTAAGTGAGCCAAGATAAAGATGTTATACCAGACGATCTGAGGGAAGGCCTTATGCAGCTTATACAGACCTGCGCGCTAGCGCTGGTGATGGACTTGTTACGAACAAGTGCCTCAAATGACATTTTATCTCATTTTGTTTTCCTGATTTGAAGTCAATGCTGATTTTATAAACTTTCCCTAAATATTGAGCAGCTGCCTGTTAAAAAAAAAAAAAAAAAAAAGCCAAAGTTCGTTTGTTATGCGTGCCGACTTACTTCTGGGAAACAGATCTTGGATTTCTGCGCCTCAACAGCACACCATATCAAACACGGAACACCTCACATATTTCCATCAAACCAGACTATCACCATCGTCATCATCATAGTAATCTTACTTATTTTGTTATTCTTGGTGTTTTTAGTTGCGCTGCCATTTAGCCTGCTACTGGACTTTATTTTTCAGTTATGCACGAAATGATAAAACAGACGGAAACCAAGCGACATGTATTACATACTTTGCTTGTTGATACCGTCTTCAGCACTCTGAAAGACCCATTTGACGAGGCAGTTTCAGATAGCTGTGTATGATTTGCTTTGCCCAGGCACACATTGCTTAAATGGAGGAGATAAATTAACGTTTCTTATATTCTGCCCCTGAAAACAAAGTGCCTCCAGGCAAAGGGTGCTTTGCACCGCTGCATCTGCCTCGGCGAATGAGCCTTTCATATCGTGGGAGACTGTTGTAGATCGCATTCTTCTTAACGTGGATCTGAGGTGTCGTTAACTAGTTTGTCGAAGGCGTTATGTTATTGCCTTTCTTAGCGATCGCAATATTTTGCTTCTAACAATGAGTCGTGCGCGGTACCTTATCCAGCAGCCTTTCTCACCCATGTAACGCATGCTCTACCTCCGTGTTTCCGACAGGCAATAAAGATGAAGTTGATCCGCTGGGTAGAGGTCCACATCGGCAGATCCCGCAAGAAGGCTAAGAAGACACCGACCAAGCGCCAGGGCTCTCCGTGCGACGCCCTCCCCGAAACCCCGACCCACACCACGACCTCCTGCCCCCGCAGCCCGGCGGTCGGACCCGACGTCGCTGAGGACTCGTGGTCCTGTCCCGGACGCAGCCCGGGTCCCAGTCCCGGCTGCGACCTCCGTGGCGACGTGGGCCCGGGCTCGCAGCGGCTGCCCAAGGCCGCTGCGCACATCCGCACCAGCTTCCTTGACCAGGCGCCGGTGTCTCCTGCCGACGCCAGCTCGCCCCGGCAGCGCAGTCGCATCAAGACCAACCCGTGGATCCGGTCCCCGCGGAGCCCCTGCGGCAGCAGCTCGGCGGACAGCGGCTGGGCGGGCTCGCGCTCCTCAACCGGTTCCGAGAGCTCCGAGCCAGGCGACCTGGCGCTGCACGAGGCCCCCTGGTACAGCCACTGGACATCGCTGTCCTCGCTGCGCAACCATGCCGGGGCCGAGCTGGCCGCCGCGGGCCCCTGGCCTGCGCAGGGGCTGCGGCCGCGGACGGCATCGACGCTAGAGTCGTACCGCGGCAGACCACAGCCCCGGGCCGCCCGGGAACCGCCGCCGACGCTGCTCGGCTCCACCGCCAGCGACGGCTTCCTGCGGCGTCCGGAGTCGGCGCGGTTGTACCGTAAAGAAGCGCCCCGCAAGAGCCTCATCACCCACATCAGCGACGGCAGCAGCAGCAGCAGCAGTAGCAGCGGGAGCAGCAGCGACGACGAAGCCTACTCCGAGGACTTTGTCCAGTCCGAGGATAGCGACGTAGTGACCGTGGTGAAGGCGGTGACCAGCCCGCAGACGGACTCGGCGTGCGACCCGGGCAGCTACACGACGACTCCGCTGTCCGAGTGCTGCACGCAGCTGCACGGCCCGGCAGCCGAGACCCTGTCCGACAAGGTGCGTCGGCTCAGGGCCCAGAGGCTCCTGGTGCAGCACAAGATGCAGGAGGCCCGGCTGGAAGAGCAGCTGTCGCGCGAGCAGCGCATTCTCCTCCACCAGGAGCTCATGCAGTTCCGCAGGCTCATGCTGCTCAAGACGCTCCAGGGACTCCGCTCCGACCTGGAGCACCGCACCGCCTCTTCGTCGCCATCGCAGTTGCGCAAGGAAGACGGTGCTTCGACGGTTGACCAGCATTGACGCGTCGCGGGCCTGTATCTATGGACAGCATCGACTCGAAGGGCCGTCGCCTCGAAGGGATGTCGGTTCCTCGTCGCCCTTGTACAGATTGTCGGAGGCAACTGCCGCAAACGGTCCTCGTTTCGGTTGGGTCACGTATTCCCGCCTGGCCTGTATCGTGGGCTGAGCTGTTCTTGCCTGCGCTGACGTGATTTTATGGGTGTTTCTCGTCAAGACGAGTTCCGACTGTAAAGGGTCTTCCTCCGGGCCCGCTAGATATTTATTCTAGTTTTTGTTTTTCTTTTTTTTGATAATTCGATATTATTTTTTTTTTTTTCGAGAAGCAAACGAGTGACACCCGTTTATCTAGTCATGTTTTGTTGTGGATTTTATGCTTTCGATGTAAACTTTCTGTGAGCTTTTTCGAATGGTGGGCACGAACTGAAACTAGCATCGTTAATAGTTGAGTGACGAGGGTTAGTGAGTCTCCAAAGGCGCACCTCCTCATCTCAAAGAGGGGAAAAAATGTTTGACGCAACGTCCCTATTAAAAGAGGACAGTTCTGGCAGCGAATAGAAAAAAAAAGTCGGACGGTATTTTTCCTTCATTTGGCGAGAGAGGCAGAGTGCAATCCTGAGCGTGTCATTTTCTTTTCCGGAAACCGAAAGTTTCGGGAAGGAAGATAACTGGTTCGCGAACACGCGCGTTGCGTTTCTCGAACGAAATCTAAAGTTACCAGCAAAGGAAACAAAAAATCTCTGTTCACTTTAAAGTTCGTTGAGCGGTCGCTACAACAAGAAACCAAGAAAGAAAAACTTATAAAAGGCGATAGTTCAAAACAAAGACTACTTGCCTCTTGGAAAGTAAAGTGTGGCAGGATGGATATACGATAAAAGAAATGCATTCTTTACTTCTACGTGATACTCATATTATTTTAATCGGGGCCACTCGTAGACACCCCTTCAGACTCTTGTACGGGTCATTTGACTGATTTACCGCCTTCACCTTGATTTTAAACGGAGAAACGCTGCGGACAAAATACCCTAGGCCTGTCTCAAAGAAACTTGCGAGCAAAGTCGCTGTGTAATATAAGCGCCAACGTTGCAAAGTCGATCGCAGCTATGCACGTCTCCAGCGTCGCTTGGAGTTTGTTGTAGTTGCTGCTTTGCGTAAATGCCCTCCTTTCAATCTTTCTGGTCGCAGCTTTAGTTGGATACCATGTACCGCATCTCACGGACGCATTTTCCAACACCAACTCGGCGTACAAACGAACCACAACGCGCTATACGGTTGCCAAATATTGCGCTGTTACAAATCTCAACAAGGATCGCACAGTGCATATTTTGTATTCGTTTGTACTTTCATTACGCGTATGCAACCATCACATGTATCTAGGAAAAAATAAATGTCTTCCCGAGCTGGATAATTCTCGCAGGAGTAAGAAGAGCGCGGCGACCTGTCATTAGTGAACTTTTCCTTATTTGAGTGTCAGCCAAGCAGTTTTCTTGTTTTTTTTTCTTTTTAGGGAGAAAGTTGTTGCTTCAGGACGTGAGAGGTACCGGAAGACAGAGCAGAGCTATAAGAAAGGAACTCTACGGAAGCCGAAGTGTGGTGGTCGACGTAGAACCAAGCTGCATATATATGCATCTCCATTTTATGTGTGCCATAAACGAGCGATATTTCTGTTTACCAACAAATATTTAGCACACACACAAAAAAAAAAAAAAAAACGGGGGGGGGGGGGGGGGGCATATTTTGGTTTTAGCGTCCGTTCGGGATTTTACGCAGACGCGTAGTTAGACAATAGCAGCTTTGCAAGAACATACAGAATAGCTAATGAACATTTGGAACTAGTACGCGAAACAAAGCTAAATTTCCTCGGGTGTACAAAAATTCGTGCTTACGTCGAGCACCACTCGGAGATTTCGGAAGCGTTCTTCTTCTATTTTTTTTTTTTTCAATTTTATTAAAACGTGATTGAGTTTTTTTTTTTTTAAATTAGTATTATTTTCTTGACAAGTTCGAAGTCATGGCGGAACTTAGGGTGCAGACCACGTGACAGTGCAAAGGCGGTAGACAGAGTGTTGAATTTTTGTGACATACGGAATGTCCATCGATTGAGTTGTTGGTTGTAGAGTTCGTGTTCGAGTAAGCTCTCAGTAGTCGTGCATGGATAGTTCGTCGTTGTAGCGTGTCCGTCTGTCTCCCCCCGCCCTCCCCCTTCAAACGACGTCGACTGAGTATAGGAGCGACGAAAAGACGACTTTGGGTTGACCTAAGCAAGGAACGAAATGGTCTGTCCCTGTGCGAAGACAAAGAACGCTTCGAGGACGTGAGAACGTGCGTACTTTTCGCGGGGTTTCTATTAAATCACGAACAAGAAGTATTCGCGCTCTTATTGCAGTGTTTATACAAGTATCGATGAATGGGGAAAGTATTGTTATATTTCAGGGTTGAGAAGAAAAAAAAGTAGCAAAAATGCTTTAATATTTTGCCGTCCTGGTCAACTTAGGGTTTTGTTTTCTCTTTCATGGAAAGGTACACAACTTGTTTTTAAGTATTGCTTACATGTGAGAGTAAGCGTTATGGTATTAGGAAGTTGGTCTAGTTTTTCATTTTGTAAAAATATGTTTCTGAGCTTGCATCACGCAGCTGCATGGGCGCTCTTTGGTAGTTGAAGAGGAGTGCAGTTATACTGCGATGTTTCATTTTGCTTTGATTTTTTCAGTGGGGCATGTTTAAAATTTCCAAATTTAAATATATATATATATATATATATATATATATGTAGAGAGAGAGAGAGAGAGAAAGAGATTTGGAAATATTTGACGAATTAGCTTTAATTTTGATTGTATTAATTCTTAGTGCGCGCACTAGATAGTTTGATTAACGTTCAGCGGCAACAACAAAATAATTACTTCAAACTTTACATCGAAACGGACGTTGTGGACAGGTTGAATTCTAATGAGTGTCTCCACTTTTAACACAGCCCACCTACTTTCTGAACCAGTCGCCTGTTGATGTATCTACCAAGTCCTTACGAACAAAAACGTATTTGAAACGATTTGCTCAGCATAGCCAGTATTCAACGCTGTGGAATAGAAAATAGCCAAACGCTTCCAAGGTTACTCTGTAGAGAAAGCTTACTCTAGTAACCTCAGTACAAGCCTCTTTGTCTCAAATAGTACCACAACATGTATAGTCTCTCAGCAGTAGTATATGCCTTTTCGGCCTACGAGATTCTCAGATTCTCACCTTGATTACGTAAACTTCCATAGCAGGCGATGTAGTACACTAGGTTTAACGTATTTAAACATTCGATTAGAATATAGTCGAGTTTGGTCGATCAAACCCATTATGATCCAAGAACCGTCTTACGTAAAGAGCAAAATTTAAAGTCAGTGGCCTATATCGCTGTATCTGTTTCTTGTTCTATTCGTTTCACAAGAAGTCGATCTTTTTTAGTGGCAGCGTAGGAGGTCGATGGGTTTCAACTTCAGTGGCTTCCGGCCTGAAGTCTGGTTGTGAGGTAGGCTAGTTTCGGCACCTCATCGAACAGAATGGCGTCCATATGCTTAGAACGCACCGAGATTCGGAGATAAATGACCGACTTCAAAACTTCCTCTCTTCCCATAGTAAAGCTTGGTAACTGCATACACTACACAGTTATCGCTGCTCTCTGGGCGCTGCTCCGCGCTAATAAAACTAGTGATGTCCCAGTTATTTGTGTATAACGACATCAAAAATAGTAACTTCCCTAGCCCCCCAATCCTAAAAACAACAACAACAAAAACGTTTCCAGTTGGCTCGAGACAGTGCCAACTTTTTGTCCTATATAAGTAACCGGCACCGCGCCTACAGTAGCATCCAGATAAACCCGAATAGTGCATTTACGCGTACGCGGTCATCTGCTCAGCTTCCACTTTATAGTCGCTGAATCTTTACTTGTTTTGTTTGCTGACAATTGTTTCGGATCCCTTGTGTCTCGCTAAACTCCGACAGCTTGAGTCGGTTCGTATTTAGAAGAGACCCCGTGGCACTTTGACTCGGGTTGCGATGTGTGCATGTTCTTTTTTTTTCTCTCTTTCCTCATTGCTGTCGAATCTGCCTCTTTTTTATGTGTGTGTGAATCCCAATGCTCAAGTTGACTCGTGTATTTTTTTACAACTCTCACGCCTTTTTGTATAAGAGCCAGCGTGAGACGCTTTGTGTACAAAACCATTTCGTCGGCGGTTCTGGCAGGAAACACGAGCCAAGATGCCGAGATTCCTCCGAGCGAGCCGTTCTGTGTCCCGCGGCGGGTCGCGTTTTTTAAAACTCGCCTCCCGCGCCTCATTTTCGAAAGCTGGTTTGCACCATGCGCAGTGTTGACTTGCCACATTCCACCCAAGCATGTGATGTTCCCTGCGACGCTGTTTTCTCCCGCGGACTTTTGTGTTTTCAGTGTGCATTGGCGCTAGGAAAAGCGCACCGGATGTACCGCTACATTTATGGACTGCACATGCATAATAAACCGAGTTATGCGCGTACCTTGTTTGGGTCTACTTGATTGTTTTTTGTTTTGTTTTTTAGTGTAGTGTACTGTAGTGATGAAAACGAGCCAAACAGGCACGTGCGGCTAAGGCACGCCCAGGGGAACTTCGAGATTCATGTGCAAACCGGTTTCGAGGTTAATAGCGACATTCAACATCTGATTGTTTGGCAGATGCAAATAGCGACGGCGTCCAGCGCGATAAAAGTTGATAATTAATTTCAGTTAACGTTGCCTATAACAAGTACTGTACTAAGGCCGAATTCTTGAGTGAACACGGCACATGTACAAAGGTTCTGGAAGCGACGCCAAGAGATGGCGTTGGCGGATATCACGTATACAGACCTTGGAGCCTGCGTGTTTGGGAGAAGTAGTCGATATTTACCATTTGTTTCCTCGCGCCAAATACAATAGATAATTGACAATGCCTGGCACACCGCCAGAGAAGGTGGAAATTCATACGCTTTCATACGGCTTTTATCGCAGATGCTAGCGCCATCTCCCGCTATGGCGTCCCTCTAATAGTTCCGTCTCCTGCAGATGAAGTAAGTGCCCCGTATTCCTTCGAG